ATTATTAACAATTTATACAAATAAACATTGCTTTGTGTACTTCATTACAAACAAAAAGCTTTTATTTAAGGCAAAATAAAACCACTGAAGTTCAACAGAATTACAACATTTAAAATAGCATTTTTTCATTTAAATAGCAAACTGAAAGTTATAAATGTTGTAAAAATAATATATAACATAAGCATTACTTTATGTACTCAAAAACCTGTTATCAGCACGAAGCTCAAAAGTTATATGGTATGATTTTTAAAAAACTGTTAAAAATAAGACGAATATGCATTATATGTATATACTGCATTTTCAAACTTGATAACTAGGTGCAGAGACTTATTCTCTTCTCTGAGAAATATTAACACAACTGAAAGTTATTTTCACTTTTATATGCAACATTTACAAATATACCTTGTGAAATTAAATGGAGAAAAAATAATATGAACATTATTTAAAGTTAAAACACAGAATCTAAAATATAAATGTGAATATAGACAAGCAAAATGTCATAATATTGAACTACAATTCTGATATATATGTACATTTTTACTTTATAGTGCATACAGTTTTGCTGCACTTATTTCCTAACATGATCTACTCAGATACTTCCTCATTTCCACTTGACATAACGATGCCGAAAAGTGAAATTACCCTTTCCTCTTTTAATGGTGTCAAAACTGTTTAGTATCCGGACCTCCTTCAGTTCCTCTTTTATCCTGAGATATTTCTGCTGCTTTTTTCTTGATGGAAAATGAGCAATCTCTCCATGTCTATGTAACGCAGATGTATTGATTAAATAAAATTTCTGATTTGAATTGAGTCAAAAAATTATTGACAAGCTCATATGTATATTTTGTCACACTTGATGGAATTATAATTGTTGTGACATTGGTATAATTTAAATTTACACTTCTTTTCTGCTCCATAATAATATTTTCTGATCTGTTAATCATTCACATGCAGATACTCACATGTACAGGATGCTTAAAAATGAATCATATAAAATTAGATTATGTTCGTAAGCATGCTATATAGAAAGATATAATCTAACAGAATTATAAAATAAATTCATGCTCTGGAGGGCACATGTTAAAGATATGTAGTCACATATCAAACTCGCAAACTTACCCTTTTAATTCTAAGAAAATTTTTCATATGTTATAATGATGTTATGAATGTTAAAAAAAAATAATAAGATACGTGTGCCAATCACAATATTTACTTAATGTTTGCTGGCAACAGTAGTGCTGTTGTCCCTATCTGGTGTGCATTACTGTGGTTGCTCGTTTCCATATAACCAAATATTCCCAATATATTTGTTTGTTCAACCTGGGCTATGTCATTTATTTAACCCACGAATAATTTAAATTTTAACCTGTTATCAGCACGAAGCTCAAAAGGAAATGCCATAACGATCGAGGATTGAAGATCGCATCAAAGCCTAACCACATTGTGAATTTGAAGTGAGCTGGATAACAATCCTTTGACAAAGTAAATATTTTTTTTCTAATGAATTTAGCTTCAATATATTTACTTGAAGAATGACATCTGAAGATTATAAAATGCTGAAATTAAACGGTGACAATTATCATACATGATGTATCCCTTCGCGTGCCGTGCCGGTGCAGAAGAGATGTTGGGAAGCAGAGGAACCTGGATATGGAGTTGAAATGAATGAAGCGGAGAGGAAAAAGAGTGATGAAGCTGTTACCCTATTATTCTTCATAGTTGAAGATACATTTCTAGATGATATTGGAGATTGTGTTAGAGCCAGAGATGCCTGGAACTGTTTAAAAAAATGCATACAAAATTTTGTTTGCTTCACGTACTACAACTTATGAGAGAATTCTTCATATTTATGAAGCCAAATGAGTTTGTCAATCCTATCTAGCAAGATTAATGGACTTACATAGAAAATTAGCTAATGGTGGATATGCATTCACAGATAGAGAAGTGGCCTTAGTGATGCTATTGGGACTGCCTAGAAGTTATAAATTGCTCATCCTAAGTTTGGAAAAAGACGAAGCAAATCTGACAATTTCGATTGTGAAACCAAGGCTACTTGTAAAAGAGAAACGTATAGTTAGAAATGAGAGTCCAGCCAAAGTGTATCATGAAGAACAAGCTCTTCACATTAAAAGTTCTGCCACCAACCAGAAGAAGCCTGCATTTGGAAAACCCATGAAGGAGTATATAGCTAAAAGGTCAAACGAAGAAGAAACTAACAGAGGAAGAAATACTAAATGCTTCAGCTGTGGCCAATGGGGGCACATCTCTAAAAATTGTGAAGAGGCCAAATATCAGAACCAAAGCAGTGCCAAAACTGCAGTTGACCTCAAGACATTGTACCTCTGGCAAAAGAAGAAAATCAAGGAAAAGTAATCTGTGGATTTTAGACAGTGGAGCTACAGAACACATCACCTCTGATAAAACAAAATTCTCAGACCTTAAGAAGTACACATCTGAAGTTGAAGTTGCTATTAAGAAAGAATAAAGGTCACTGGAATTGGAAATTTACAAGTTGGATGAAGTTGGAGAAGAAGTTCTCCAACTGAGAAAAAAAAACGTCACTATTGAAAATATCCTATATGTTCCAGAACTAGGAGGAAATCTATTATCCATTGGTAGAATTGAAGAAAGAGGCTTAAAAGTAGAATTTGCGGAAGGAAAAGCTAAAGTGATTGGTAAGAATGGAGACACTCTTCTATCTGGTGAGAAAAAAGGAAGACTGTACATAATGGAAGAAAAGATGACAGCTGCCTACATTACGAAAACTGAAAGTGCCGACTTGTTGCATCGTAGACTTGGGCATCCACACTCTTGTACAACAAAAAAAATATTATCCCCACTGTCTGAAACCTGAAATCAACAGTATTAGTAAATGCACCTTGCCAAGTCTGTATCCATGGAAAAATGAAAAGGAAGAAATTTCTAAAGGCCGCTAGTACAAGAGCTAAAGGCATTCTAGAAGATATCGTTGTTAAAATTTCTCCCCCTTCCTTTGCAGGCTCAAATTACTTTGTGACTTTCACGGATGAATTTTCTCACTATACCACGGCATCCTCTATGAAAGCCAAAAGTGAAGTACTAGAAAAACTTGAGGAGTACCGTTGCATGGTAGAAAATCTCCAAAACAGAAAAATCAAATTCCTGAGAAATGACAATGGTGGGGAATATATAAGTGAAAAGTCTGACAAGTACACACATGGGATCCAAAGACAACTAACTGTATCTGACACACTCCAACAAAATGGTCTGGCAGAAAGACTGAACCAAACATTGATAAACATGACAAGATGCTTACTTATAGAGTCCGGAGCAGATCACAGGTTTTGGGCTGAAGCAATGGGCACTGCAGCCTATCTCCACAACAAGCGCCCGTTTATGGCAATTGATGGCGATATTCCAGAGAAATGATGGTCAGGGTCTGGAAGCGAAACAGACCACCTCAGAGTTTTCGGATGCAGAGCCTGGAGTCATATTCGCTCACATTCAAAAGGAAGCAAGCTTGATCCTAAAGCTACAGAATGTGTTTTTGCGGGCTATCCTAAAGGAGTTAAGGGCTACAAATTGTATGACATCAAGAAGAAACATTTTATTGTCAGCAGAGATGTCATTTTTGAAAATGTTTCCCTCTTAAAACTAAGCAAGTGTGACAATCCTGCAGAAGAAGCTTCCCTTAAAATTGAAGACTTTGAATCAGAATATCCCTTGGACCTATCTGAGACAGAAGCTCGTGACTCATCTCTAGATCACATAACTTCTGGTGTAAATGACTTGGATGAAACCCAAAGTCTAAATACAGATTCGATTGACCAAAATTCTGAAAGATGTCCAGACCTACACCTTGAAAATACTCCAGATTACCAAGATGAAGGATAATCAGTTATACAGATACAAGACGTTGTTAACAACCTATACCCTGAAGTCGAAGGAGCAGCCAGAAATCTTACCCATCGGAGTGAGAGAGGTGAAAGAAGAAACACCAGAATTCCTAAACATTTCAAAGATTTTTATCTGTACAATGCCCAAGAGATACAATAATCTGAAAAAAAAGGACCCAATAACTCTAAAAGATGTCCTGAAATCAACCGAAGCTGACATGTGGTTAAAAGCCATTGAGGAAGAAATTCATAACCTCACTCAAGCTCAAACATGGGAACTAACTATTAAACCACCAGGAGCCAAGATAATACCATCCAGATGGTTGTTTCATAAGAAAAAAGACGAGATTGGGAACCGAGCAAAATTACAAGCCTGATTGGTGGCAAAAGGCGATCTGTAAATACCCGAAGTGGACTTTCAAGGCACCTTTTCACCAGTCATCAAACTTAAATCTGTAAGATTACTGCTTGCCGTAGCTGCAGAGAAAAAGCCAGAGGTTCACCAAATGAATGTGACAGCTGCATATCTTAATGGAATTCTAAAAGAGGATATATATATGGCACAGCCAGAAGGCTGCATTGAGAAAGGAAAAGAACATCTTGTCTGCCACCTGAAGAAAAGCATTTATGGTCTCCGACAATCAGGACGTGCATGGAATACTTGCTTGAAAGACTCCCTGATCCAGTATGGATTGAAAAGATCAAGTGCAGACCCTTGTATTTACTTTTGTCATAAGAAGAACATCATAATTGGAGTTTATGTTGATGATCTCCTGATAGTTCTCCTGATAGCTGAACATGCTAGAGATAAATGAATTCAAGGAAAGCATCAAGAAAAGGTTCAATGTCAAGGACCTAGGTCCTGCAAGCCAGATATTATCCATGAAAATATGGAAAGAAGAAAATGGATCATCTACACTAGATTAAATCGTTTATGTATCAGAGAGTCTAGAAACATTTAAAATGACTGAAGCAAAATGTGCATCCACGCCACTGGACCCCAGCATAAAATATAAGAAGGTAGATGAACAACAGTAGGAGGAAATCAAAGAAAACAGCAAGGAAATCCCTTACAGATAGGCTATAGGAAGTCTCCTTTATCTGACTTGTGGTACTCGTCCAGACATGGCTTATTCCTCCACCTACATGAGCCAATTTAATGAAAAACACACTGAAGAACACTGGAGAGGTGTGAAACACATTCTAAGATACCTAAAGGGAGCACAACTCAAAATGTTGAGATTCCAGAAGACAGGTGAGCCCCTTCAAGTCTACTCAGATGCTGACTGGGGAGGTGACAGAATTGACCGTAAATCTTACAGTCGTTATATAATGCTACTCGCAGGTGCTCCAATCTCATGGTCGAGCAAGAAGCAACCCACAACAGCTTTATTGTTGACAGAATCAGAGTATGTGGCGATGTGTCACACAGCCAAGGAAATCCTATGGATTAAATATCTGATGAAGAAAATCTGTACTGAATTAGCTGCTTCACCTCAAAAAGTGTTAGTCGACAACTAGGGAGCAATATTCCTAGCCAAGAACAATGTTACTTCTGAAGTAAGCACATCGATATTAAATTTCATTTTCTGAGAGACCTAGTGATAGAAAATGTGATTGTATTTGATCATGTGCCATCCAGCGACAATCTCACTGATCTCCTAACTAAGCAGACCTCGAAAAAACTTTTACGTGACATGAACTATGCCAGGACTTGCATGTAAAAATGATCTCCTTCGAATTTTGTGACTGAACATAAACCCTTATGGTTATAACTGTGTAGAAACTTGACTTAAAACTCGAGAAAGAAGCCTAGATACTAATTTTCTTAATTATTTCTATGTAAACATTGTGTTTCCTAGTATAACTTAATATGTGTTCATTTAATGATACAATTCATAAGTAGAGGTCAATAGTGTTTAAGCATGTAATAGAAACTACATTGTTTTTCTGTAAATGTGTACAACCACAGCATGATTAATTTTTTATGGAAGTATGTAAATATCTTGCACATAGTGTGACTGACAGGGGACATATTAAAAAAATAAGATATGCGTGTCAATCACAATATTTACTTAATGTTAGTTGGCAACACTAGTGCTGTTCTCGTGTTGTCCTTATCTGGTGTGCATTACTGTGGTTGCTCGTTTCCCTGTAACCAAATATTTCCAATATATTTGTTTAACCTGGACTATGTCATTTATTTAACCCACGATATAATACGTTTACGCATGCGCGTTTAATGTATAACGGACACTATAAGCTAGGCTAAAATTATCTAATTCAGTTAATGTTGAAGATTGCATTGTTCCTTAATCTTCTAATTGGATCAGGCTTATTATTTTTTGCAGACTGTTAGAGCAATTTTACAAAAAGTAAGCTTGAACTTTCGATTATGTCAAAAAGAGTTTCCGATTCTGGAGCTGCCAAAAGATCTACAAAGCAAAAGCATGTTTCGATGTCCATCAAACAAAAAGTGGAACTGCTGCAAAAAATGGATAAAGACATGAAGAAAGTGACAGAGAGATTAGTGAAAACGAAAACATTTTGATTGACAAGGTAGTCGGTATTCTTGGCACAGCAATTACAGGACTTGAACAGCAGAACTTTGTAACTGAACAAGAAATTATGTCGGTTTATAGAATTAAAGAGAAAGTATTAGCACATAAAATGAAGCAATTTAAACAACTTGCATTGAAAGAAATGTTTAATAAAGTAAACAAATATTAAGCTTTTTTTTTTTTTTTTTTTTTTTTTTTTTTTTTGTAAATTTTGATACCCATTAGATCATAATTGTTCTTTATTTCATAAATTACAGTTTCATATTTTTAGAAAATTCCATTAATAATTCCATATCTAAAGAATATGGAATTATTGTGCAAATTGTTTGTGATAATGTTAAATAAAAAACTTCATTGAGCAAATTAGGCTTTGAATGCAATGATAAAATAGAATTTCGAAAAACATGTAATGAAATTTCACAAATATTGAGATATTCTTAAAAAGAAAACAAAATTAAAGTATAATTACTGATTTTTTTAAGAAAATAAACACATACCATATAAATGAAAAGTGATAATTTGAATTATACATGTTTTTATGTTATCCATGACCTGCTTTCCTAGCATTAGTTCAGCTAATCAAGAGTACACAGTATTCACAAATATTAACTCTTTGAAAGGTGGTTTGCATAAGGTAATACATGTTGTTTCCTTTTAATATAGCTCAAAATCTATTTTAAATCTATTTTAGAATTCTATTCTTAGAAAAATGTATATAAATGTTATAAATAATTGCCTATTTTAAACAATCAGATCACTGAACATAAATACACTGCAATTATTGGCAAGAATGAACTCCTTTTCACTGCATACTTTTTGAAATCTTAGAATCACAGCAAACAGCTGAGAATTCAGCTATCATAAATATGCAATCACGTTTAGACTGTTCCTCTTTTAATGATAACAGAAAGTTACTTTTCCCGACTGTTGAATTTTGCCTTCAATTTATAGTCACAAGTAAGATAATAAGATTTTCTCGAGGAGAATAAAGATAAAAGTATGGCTCTGAAAAGACCTTGAATCTATACAAACTTGTAAGTATTATCTTCTTGAATGTCATTTTCAAACCATTTGGTAAGCTCAGAAGTGCTTTTCAAAAACAGCAGTCTGCATGGTGTCTGTTAAATGTTTTTCCTACCATAACACAAACAGCCATGACCCAGTTCTAAAATCACACATGTTAAATACTGTTACTAGATTATTTTGCAGTAGACCTAGAAGACACTCACAGTCTTCCAAGACTCAGCAGCACATGGTTTGGGAATCACTGATATATATTAGCTACAAATTAATATACCTAAAGGCATTTTTTAATATTAGAATGGCTATGAAATGATGTAAATCTGCAACTGAATGAGAACAGTGAAATTCTAAAAATAATAAGAAATGAACAAAAAAGTAAAAACGAATAATTGACTAAGATGTAAAGATATTTATGTTTTTAAAAAATGTGATAATACAACAGCCATGAAAAATGCAGTTAGCTGTTTATTGATATCTATAATACAGTGAAAAGCCGTTAATCCGGACTCGTCGGGACTTCAGCGATTCCGGATTATCGATTTTTCCGGATAATAGATCATCAGTTTAAATCTCGTAAGATGGCATGCAGAAATTCTAACATTAAAAATATGAAACCGTAATATATGAAATAAAGAACAATTATGATCTAAAGGATATCAAAATTTACAAAAAAAAAAAAAAAAAAAAAAAAAGAGCTTAATATATATTTGTTTACTTTATTAAACATTTCTTTCAATGTAAGTTGTTTAAGTTGCTTCGTTTTATGTGATAATACTTTCTCTTCTATAAACAGAATAGATTATGTCTCTTCTATAAATTATGTCTGTTTATAATTCTATAAACAGACATAATTTCTTGTTCAGTTACAAAGTTCCGCTGAAGTCCCGTAATTGCTGTGCCGAGAATACCGACTAACTTGTCAATCGAAATTTTTCGTTTTCACTAACCTCTCTGTCACCTTCTTCAAGTCTTTATCCATTTTTTGCACCAACTCCACTTTTTGTTTGATGGACATCGAAACATACTTTCGTTTTGTAGATCCTTTGGGAGCTCCAGCATCGGAAATTCTATTTGACATAATCGAAAGTTCAAGTTTACTTTTATAAAATTGCTCTTACAGTCTGCAAAAAATAATAAGCCTGATCCAATTAGAAGATTAAGGAACAATGCAATCTTCAACATTAACTGAATTAGATAATTTTAGCCTAGCTTATAGTGTCCGTTATACATTAAACGCGCATGCGTAAACGTATTATATCGTGGGTTAAATAAATGACATAGTCCAGGTTAAACAAATATATTGGAAATATTTGGTTACAGGGAAACGAGCAAATAATTAATTTTAGCTTATACTGTCCGTTATACATAAAACGCGCACGCGAAAACGTATTCTGCACTTGCGCACGCGCATATGCGCAGTCATAAAGGTCTTACGCGCACGCGTAAACGCCTATGCGCAAGTGTCAACGCGGCGCATGCGCAGAAAGTTCTTAGCTTTGAGGTCCGGATTATGGGTGTCCGAATTAACGACTTTTGACTGTATATAGTTTACCTGTATTTATATGATAGGAGCATAATTCATGAATAAATAAATCACTGATATAATCATGACTTGCTAAAAATTTTAAAAAAATTCAATTCAAATTCAATAGAAATATTCAACATGCCTATATGATGTCATATTTCAGTTATTTGATTCACAACACTTCTGCATAACACTTTAAGAAGAAAAAAATATTGTTAATGTAAAATTCCTTTTAGCAAATAGTTTACAAACATGTAAACTTTCAGAAAATTTCCATCAAACTTTTGCAAAATATCATATGTACGTAGGTGGATCCAAAATGAAGGTTGCAAGCATCAGCAATTGAAAGATAATTATTGTGGAGGGAATACTTTTCCCCAGATTGTAGACAAATGTCACTGCTTGTTTAGCAGCAGTTGTGCAGGTCGGTAGAGTAAGTTCGCAAACACGTCAAAGCATTTGAAATGGCAAGACATTTAGAAAAATGGTCTCATTTGGACAGTGATTTGCTATCCTGATTGAGTATCTGAAACAAGGCCATACTATCACTGCCAATCATTATTGCACCACTTTGACAAGGTTCCATGAAGTCACTCAATGCAAGTGCCCTGGCATGTTCAGCAATGGTGTCATAGTCCTGTATGACAATGCCCAGCCCCATACTGCTCACCAAATTCAAAAATTGTTGCAAAATTTTAAATCGGAAGTCTGGAGTCACCCCTATAGCCTCCAGTAGTCTGGAGGCACCCCATATAAGCCATTAAGGAACTATTTCTTTTCCTAAAATTTAAGGAACATTTATCTGGAATGAAATTCTTCTCAGGCAGTGATGTGAAAACAGCTACCGAGACTGGCTTAATGGATAGAGATATGATTCCTACCTAGCCAGGTTAAAAGAGTTGGTCCTGTGTTCAGATAAATGCTCAAATGGATTTGGTGATTACATGAAAAAATGATCGGCAAGTATGCCTCTAAATTGTCTTTTGTATTTTCTGTTTAGTATTAATAAATAAGGCTTTATTTCCCTTGTAACATTTTTTGGATCCACCATCGTAAAATTATACTTCTTTTCTCTACATATCTGCATTTTTGGATGGGCCAGTTCCTTCCACGTTTAAAACTTCATATTTTTTCCCCTCCCTTTGCTAAATGTGTTATCAATTTTACCACTTAATGCCTATGGATATTTTTTAAAAAATGTCACTATTAACTCGAACTGGTTAGTAGTAGTTTTTTTTATAACAACCATCCTCACTTAAAAGCACGTGAGAAACAACACATTTGACAACAAAATAGGTATTCCCCTAATACTCGAGCAATGTAGATGTGAGGCAGACTGGTTGTTCTGCAATAAACGTCACCTTCCGGAGAGAATTTAAATTCATTTTTTGGCAACAGAATTTGAAGGGGTC